ATGAAAATATTATTTACTCTTGAAACTCAGTTTTTAGTGCTTGTAATTATTCCCAATTCATATACCTAAATCTAAAATGTGGACTTTTTATCTAATAGGTTTTAAAAAACAATTTCCATTAATTAAGAATGGTTTTTAAAAGTTATATATTATATGTTTATGGTCTCTTTTTTAATGCATAATATTGTCGTTGCTTTGATACAAATAAAAAAATGCGTAATGACAAATTCGATTTAAGATAATTAGTATTTCTAAAATATTAATTGAGAATACTCTGAACTTCTATCACTAACCAAAATTAAAAGAGTTTAAAATTAAAAATATACCTGGCATTATTATAATTTGATTTAAATCTTCGATTAAAAATGAAGACAGAACTTTAATTAAAAACAAAAAACTATAATAAATTAAAAGTTGAAATATTTTTTTATTAAAACAATTGTGTATATTAACACGCAACAATAAATTTAACTAATATAAATAATATAATATTACCCAAAAGTTTCTAATTAAATTAATCAATACCTTCTTCTAAAATAACACCAATATTAATAATAAAAAATTAATAATAATAATAAGACATATATATCTTGTTTATTTAAAATTTGTAGGTCTGCTATTAACTAATAATCTTATTATTTGTTCTCTTCTCCATAACATGAAGACATTGTAAATAATAAAATAAAACAAAATAAAAAAACCAATAATGAAGTAAATAAATAATTATTATAATAATTAAAGCAAACAATTACCTCAAAAATATTTTCACAACTAAATAAAAAAAGCTGCTACAAAGTTACCTGCAACCAATTTACCTGTAAATTCTCTACTTTAAATTTCCCGCTTAACAAATAAAAATACTAAGCAACATGTTGCGAGCAACATTTTCAACTACTGTCAACAAGTTTTAAATAACCAAGTCAACAACGAACAAGAGAACGGATGCTAATGCGTGAGGATGTTCATTTGCAATGTTAGTTCCGTCACTAACACAACTGTAACTACAAATAAATGTGCAATTTTACATGTGCTGTTGTATACGTGTGTGTGCCTGTTTGTGTATGCAATACGTATTTGCATAAACATTCATTGTTTTCTTTATTAATTTTTATTTGTCTCATGATTTAATTTATTGTATAATTTAATTTATTTAATTATTAATTTCTTCAATATTGTATAATTATGGTATATAAATTTAATGTTTAACGTTGTATTGATGTTTTGTTGTATTAATGGAAATAATTACACTGGCCAAGTAATATCAAAAGGATAATTAATGAAATTTAGTTAAGCACATACAAGCATGCGTAGAAAGCAATTTTCATTTCATGTGGCGAAAAAATATATATAATTATATTATATTTAATATATTAACAATTTATATAAAAATATTAAGTCGTAGGAAAATCAAAGAACAAACTACATAAATATCAATGCAAAGAGAATTTCATGGGATTCATTATTTACACTGAGACTACTCTAATTCAATATTGTGCATTAATAGTTGAATAACTTTGTCATTTCTTACGGGGCTTAAAATCTTTTCCATTACGGATATCTTATATTTAAGGGGTTGCTCAGTGATTGGATGTAACTACACTTAAGTATTTGAACAAAAATATCAGTATCTTCAGAGAAAAACACACCTATTTACGCGTTTCTTTTGTTAGATTTTGTTTCTTTTGTTAGATTTTGTATTTTCTTGTAAAGCTTTCAGGTATATAAAGCTATATATAGCTTTAAAGATATTGTATTTCAATTATATACCTTCCATTCTCATTTCTTTTTTGGTCTAAAAATCTTTCCTAATATAAATATCTTAAGGTCATAAGTGGGCGCAATTGTTTACTGGGTAACTATTGAACAATTATTATTCACAATATTATAAGGTTGTGTATAGTTTAAGAGACATAGTGTTCCAACTAACTATTTTCATTTAAATATCACAATATCATAAGTAGCGACAATAGTACTCTCAAGTATACCTCAATATTATCTGTCCATACCTTGCGATCACGAATGGATCTATTGTGATTGCATAACCCATAAAGTTACCAGTTTCTTGAATTGAGCGTATGTTTCGTATACTATCATAAATGAATCAGATATTTCAGTTTGTTACATTTTAATACACTGATAGTTTTACCTGTAGTATATTAGAGGAAAACATTTACTTTGTTTTTATAAAAAGTTAATTTGACCAACAAAATAAACATTTATTGCCCTTACCGAACAAAAGACATTATGCTTTATATGCAGACACAGGAATTTTAAAGGGATATGAAGAATGCCTGATCTAATAACTTTAAAGAAAGTATAAATAAGTATAATTTATTAATAACATAGAATTCGTTAAAAAACTACTGAAATATAATTTTTTTCTTAAATCTGTAACACGTTTAATGATGCTGTAGTAAGTAACATAAATTCTTATTGCAGTCAGTGTCATGGAATATGAGAAGTCAGTAGAAGCATAGTCATATGACATAGAAATTTTAATTCATGCTAGATACCTTAATAAATATTGAATAGATAGAAATGTTTATCGAAATAAAATTTTAAGCTCCTTTGGAATGAATACTTGTGATATTATGTGTTCGAAAGAATATTAAATACAGATACCTTTATTCTGTACTGGAAAACCAGTACAGAATAAAACTAAAACTGTATTTTAATTGTACATACCAGATAACATAGACATAACATAGATAACATAACTGAGCTTAGATGTTCATATCCTCTACTGCTAGTCTTATAATGGATCTATTGATGACTGTTTATTGGATGGGGTAACTTTTTATGGGATTGATTATTTCCTTTAATAATATTTAATAACTCGAATCCCAACTGTGACTATAGAAATTACCATTGCACGAGATCAACTTCTCTGTTAGTAGCAAGATCCAATCTTGAGCGTCTTAGACATTATTAAAAGTTCGAAATATTTTTTAACATATAAAGCGACAACACAAAAGATTACCAGATAGTAGTGATTTTCAAAATGTATCTAAAATTAAGGCCATTTTATTTTGAATGATTGTTTTGTTTAATATATATCACTGGAGTGGCTTTGGACCACGAAACGGACAATCCTACTCCATAGAACACTCAAAGAAAATATACAGTATTATCACAGATAAAGCATGAAAGCGCAATGATTGATACACTGTAATATATGAGACTAAAAATGATTGAATATTTTTCGTACGAAACTAATATATATAAAGCATATAATTATTGATTTAAATAATTAATAATAAAATTATTATTAATTAATAAAAATAATCTGCACAATTTGCCTACGTATGCATGTTATATAAAGTTTTAGTTGAGCACAATCACTCAAATGAAAATATTAGTTATCCTCCTTATAAGAGGAATAATAATATATATGCCTGTATGTGTATGTGAATAAAATATTACACGTTAATGTTTTATTATAAATATTTCAAAAGTATATAATATTTCTTTTAAATTAATTTTTTATTTATTTATTATCTCAAACATTTTCATTTTAATTATCATTTTTATTAAATAAACGACAATGGCTGAGAAAAAATTGCTTTACCCTTAATATGCAAAATCGTTTGTTGTAGTATATACAGTAAATAATATAAAATTCATATAGATATATATATATATATATATATATAATTAATCAAAATTTATGTTGTGCAAAACTTATGATGTAAATAAGTGTAATGTGAATGCCTGAATTTGTGTATTAATGTATGCTATCAAAATGTTAAAAATATTTAACAAAATGTTTGCATTAAAACGAACAACAAAGGCTCAGTGATGAATCCTTTGTTGCTACAAAAAGGATAGCATACAGAAAAAAAAGAAAATTATTTTAAAATCAAACGTAAGAACGAAAAAAGTAAGAAGAAAACAAAAATGAAAATGGCTGCATTTCTGAAATCACCACATCCACCATAGCCACCAACATCACAACCAACCATCATAGAATCCCATAAAGAGCAGCAAATCAGAGCAATTGCTCTCGGTTCACAGTAGAATTAATTGCTGCTGAAACTGAAATTGCAAGTGACAAATAGCAACAATGCAGATGATACTTGTTGCTGGCGGGTAAGTGTGCTTCCGATTTCCTTTTCCGTTTGCCTTTACGTTTACTTTTACGTTTACGTTTACAATTACGTTTATGTTACAATTTACAATTTACATTACATTTTTCATTTTATTACTTATGGTATCCGTATTCCTTTTTTCATATTTCATTTATTAATTCCCATTTTTCCTTCTTTTGTATATTTATTTATTTATTTTTTTTTTGTCGTCAATATTGTTCAATTGACTGAATAATTGATTTTAATTTATGATTATTTTATGTATTTTTTACTTTTTTCCTTTTTGATGATGGAAATTAATTTAATTTAATAAATTTTAACACAAATTTTCACATCAAAGAAAGTACTTCAAAATGATTCTTTGATTGATTAATTAATATTTTTTTTTTGGAAACTAAAAATTTATAACGTCTTCAGATGTTCTGTTGATAACAGAATCAAGTATGTTATTCAGTATTATCAAAAACATAGAAGTACATATATGTTTCTATGTTTTTGGTACTCTCTTCTCAACAGGAAACGTATCGCGCGATGTGAATTGAATACGCTACTATCGGTCAAATATTAATAACTCTCGTCAATTGTTAATAACTTTCGAGCGAAATGCACTGCCATTATGAAGCGAATTCACTAGCAGTGATTTTTCTACTAGCGCTCAAATGTTAATAGGCTTTGAGCAAAATGCATTGCCGTTATGAAGCGAATTCACTAACAGCGATTACTTTACTATCGGTCAAATATAAAAGACCATGAATAGAATATTCTGCTAGTACTCGTACACGGCGAATTCACGAACAGCGATTTTAGCGTTTGGATAGGTGAGAATAAAATCGGAAAAAGATTTCTTTTAATATTGCCTCATATAAATAAAAGTTATTAATAATTTTATATTGAAAGCGATATGAAAGAAACAATTTTTTGTATTAATGTCTTTCAATTATTAAATATCTTTACTGACACAATAAATTTGTCGGATAACAAATTTGACAACAACTTCAGGAAAAAGCTTGATATATCACCTTTAAGGGTGATATATATATGGTATAGCTTCGATACTTTATTTATATGTATCATGTATCATTGATATGATACATCAATGAATCATTGATTATATCATTAAATTTAAAAATATTTCTAGTTTTCGCAATCAATTTTTTATTGGATTCATAACTTTGGTACTTTGGAGCATTCTTTGAGATTTTTTAATACTTAGTAGGCGTCACAGTCAGTTCGAAAGAGTGTGATGAATCAGCTTAACAATTCTATGTATAATCGTATAATTTTGATAATAATGTGATCAACTTGTGATCAACTTGTGATTTGAGGTAGTTTGTAAGAGTTTTAACTTTTAATAGGCACGAATAAATCTCTAAAGTATTTGCTCCCAAAGAAAAATGAATCAATATAATTAATAGTCATCTAATTCGAAACATTCATTGTTGATGTCCTCTGTTAGGGTAACGTTTCCGTTTTTTGTTACTTCTCTTAAGGTAACGTTTAAATAAAATAGCATGGGAATTCCAAAATATCAAGTTTAAGATATTGTCAAGTAATATTTACTATTTACAACGCTTAAAGTGACACTGATTAGTTTCTGTAGACTTATCTCACTGCCGTTTAGACAACGCAGTATAATGATGATTGATCCATATTTCATTTTTTGTTCTATAAAACATATTGTTGTTGATCTGCTATAACCGAACATAATAACCAATTTAATAGCATTTTTCATATAATTAAATGGTCAAGCAAAGTAATGTTTTGATTACTTTCTAATATTGTTAAAGTATCAACTTCTTTCTCAAATTTGACTGCAGGAACAACCAAAGTAGTGCAAAATACATTTTTGATATTTCTGTAGTATCATCCTGTAAACTTATGCGAGTAATGTATTATGATCGTGTTGTATATTGTAAAAAAAATTGATGTCTTATAGTTTTGAAAATATTTTTTGTATTTTTATTATTATTATGAACAAATCTTG